CATATGAAAGAGAATGTGAAGGTGGCTGATACTTTCCGAAGATTACAAGCACAGTTCAGGGAAGACTGTCTAGAGCGGAGAAGTGTATTGGATCGTCCAAGTGATTTCAAGATGGCCAAGAATCCTTGACAATTCCTTGAGTGTAACCACCCGCCTGAGCCTGTTGTGAATTCTGTGACCATTCAGAAATTGAATAAATGATTCTGGAGAATCAACGCGTTACCGTGCAATGTTTTGCAGCGGGAAATAAACATCAGTATTGGTAGTGTCGAAAACATTATCCATTCTCATTCTAAGTTCAAAGAGGTGACTGCAAGATGCCAAGAGAATTGACATTCGACCAGAAGGCTAACCGAGTGACCGTAGCGTCGGACCATCTCAACCACTACAATGAAGAAAAAGACAACATCCTCAACCGCATTTTGACAAGTGATGAAACAGATTCATCACATTACACTGGCATGAAAACGCCCAAGCATGCAATGGCGACATTCTGCATCGTTTCAGCCTAAGAAAATCAGGGCAAAGATGAAGTGAAGCGGCTGTGCACTCAACTCAACCATGAGCATTCTAATGCCTCTGGCATTCAGGCATTGACAAAGAGATGTGACAAGTACATCCTTGTAGGAGGGGAATGCTTCGAGAAGGAGGCGTAGTTTGATAGAGATCAGATGTACCATAGATTTTCTGGAATGAAAAGTGCAGTTAAGTATTGAACCACCCTCGTACATGTTCAATGTGTAATATGTAAAACACTCAAAGAATCAAGAAATGAAGTGATCAATTTCAGATTTTGTTTCCTTTTGCTGGCCCAAATAAATATATTCTGTACAAATTCCTGTCCTCTCCAACATGATCCAAAATAAAAATAATCCCATCTTCTCCTTGTTAGCCATATTTCCATGTGGACAGTATACATGGTGCACTTTAAGACACCAAAAAAAAGGAGATCAGACAGAATGTCATAGCACCTATTTGTTGCTCCTGTCTCCTGTTGTGTTGGGCCACGTTTCCTTGCACTCTTTCCCTCGTGTGACCACCTGTCTCTTGACAAAATGATGTGCACCATAAAGGTAAACCAAGTCAATAAATGAGGCTCATAGAGTAAAACTCATTTGTCCACTTATATATCTCTTGGAAGGTCTTACACGACCACCAATAGTCAATGCCCTAATCTTTTGTGGCTGACGAGGACCAGGCACTAGCTTCAACCTGTATAACAATGAAGAAACAAAACGTAATTGTGACGATTTAATTTTAGCCTTCCCGTTTGCCCTATACTCGCTCACCAAAACAGTCTTGTCAATATCTTGATTCCAGTATCACACTTTTCAGCTCAACTTTTCTCATTCAAAGACACTCATGTCTTGTCTCTTACAAATTCAGCAATATCCCCTGGCAATGATCACTTAGAGAATTTCCTTTGCAACTTGAAGACAATATACTTTATTAAATTGATTCTGAGATCTACAGCAGGAAATATCTCTATTATCATACTGACAAACTGCACTATCACACGAGTGCACAAAATCATACACTTGTAAATGAGACATTATGTCCAGCAACAAAGAGTCCATGCAAAAAAGAGATTTCATGACTAATAGTAATGCTAGAGTTGAGGCAATATTTTTCAGGAAGTTTTCCCATCTTTGAATTTAGGAATTGTTGGCACGACAACCAGAGCTCAAGCTCAAGGTGGGCATGAAAAGGGCTAAAGTCTCATCTATGCCTATCTGTGGTGTGATAAAGACTCCTAAGTTTCACTTTTTTCATTCATTAAGGAAAGAAAGCTCCTGACAAGACTTAGGACCAATAGGTTTTTCCTGAGAAAGTAGCTGATGCTTCATCGATTTCCCTAAGATGACATTCAACCAGGCATTGAAAACGTGTTCGTACAGGATACCCAAGTCTGTAAAGTGTCAGGCTGAAGCCTTTCATGTGAATTAGTGGTGGATGCCCACAATCAACTTTCTAAGCCCACCTGCACATACGGTGTCAAAGAGCCAACCCGAAACCAAGAGTCAGAAGTCCAGATACTCTGCATCAGTGAGCACACTACACTTAATATGAGACCATCACTCATGTCTTTATGCCAACAGAGACCACATGTTTTAAGTGACATCACGGAGAATATCCACACTAACTGAAAGATACATTCAACAGATGTAGGATCATTGGATTTGGGTCACTAATATGTTTAAAATAATACTGGATATATCCATTTTAAATAAGCTTGAGAAAAAAAGTTTTGATGTTATTTCACTGAGAGTAATACATTTCAGGCACAAAATTAGTAACTAAGTGCTAACTACTCCAGTTATAACCATCTTGACATGCTCCTGTGGGAGAAAGTTCTGCATAAAACCATTCAATTATTATATTTAAAATGTCAACATGACCAGATATATATATGTGTAAGCTAGAAAACCCCTAACATCCTTGACCTCATCAGTGCCATTCACTTAGCCTTAGTCTCCATCCAAACAGGGGGTGGGGTTTCTGGGATGCATGGATTAAAGCAGGGATTCAATCTTTTTGTCACTGAAATTGGCTCCCATTCTGATCATGACACATGGCATCGCTGGGGAAAGTCATTTACTGCTCTCTGGCACATGTCCAAGCTTGTGGTATTCAGTTTGGTGGAAATGGCGCTTATGAGGTCAGGAATGTTAGGGGTTTTGTAGCATGCACCTTCTCTTTCAAAAAAACCCACAAGTAACCACAAACCATCAGATTTAACAGCAGTTGTTAAGAAAGGTCTATGCTTTCGAGTGATACAAAACTCATTTCTACCAGAAAAAAAATAGACAAAATAATGTACAAAACTTGGGGCAGGGTTTCTGGGAGACCCTGTATAAAAGTGAAGGGGGATAATCATGAGCGTTGAGGACCAGGAAGAGCACATTCACCTGTTCAGAACTTAAGACCCAGGTCTGTTTGACCCCTTCTTGTGCTCCTGTCCTGTCTCATTCCTCTTCCTCAAAGAGGAGGAAAGAGGCCTCCAAATTGAAGGAAGCTGAGGAATGAGGGTGATTTATTTTCTCAAAGTGAGTACTCCTATGCTCTGTTTACTACACGAAAGCTGTACATTTTCTGAACCAAAACCACATTCAGACATGAAATCATAGTTCAAGATTTTTAAAGTTATAGAAAATTTAGAGGCTCAGAAGTAGGTAGCACACCTTTTGCTCACATGATCTTCTATGTGGCATCCTCATAATATATGTTTTGCACAAGTCAATTTCCAAGCATACTAGAAAGCCTTTATTGATTCATGGCTTGGAGAAAGCTGCTACCAAGTAATTTTCTGTCAATGACACTTCAAATAAGTACAGATTGTAATAAGAATTTTTTGGCCAATTAATGTTTTGTTATTTTCAAGGAACCAATGCATCACCACAAGTGGCATTGTATGGCACATGATACAGTTAGGACAATCACATTTTCAATCTGCAGGTGTTCCAATAATAACCATGCAGAAGCATCGACTTAGGAGGCAGTGGCCTCCAATCCAATGCATGTGCATGGTTCTTAAAGCAGATGGCAAGGATATCCTTTGCAATGCCTCCCAACTTCTTGCCCTTGACATTCTTCTGAACAGTAGTGCATATATTGGGGACGCTCAACCTGCAGACTGAGCTTTTACCATCCAGACCACATACCCTTCCTGGCATGCACTTTTCTTTTACCTGTTTTCCTGCCTTTCTGTCAGCACTCTCATGGCAGTAATAGCCTGATAACAGAGAAGCATTCTGGGGGAATTAATGATCTTCAGATCTTTCCCCTGCCCCCCCCTCTTGGTCGACATATTTTGCGACTTATTCTCCCAAGGACAATATCTGGACACATCTTCATCAGACAGTGATTGTCAAGCTCTGGCCTTAAAATTTTACTTCTGGACTGTCAGACCTCAAAGATGTCAGGTCAGTAGACCAAAAATCCCATCCGGCACTCCCAGTATATATGAAGGGCTGAAAGGCATAGTGGTCTATCAGCAAAAAATTCTTTCCTTGAGCTCCACATGGAATGAGTGACTGTACAGTTAAAAGTGAAAAGAAGTGAAATGTATTGATAGAAGCACTTCCTCCTTTACATAATAAAAAAACAAAATTTTCTAGGCAAGAAACGAGGTTCTCAAGCACAAAAACCAACACTGCTTTTTTTGGGAAATTTTTTTGCAGATAAAACACTTTGCCTTTCATCCCTTCATATAATGCAGTGACCAAAGAAACCTGACAAAAAATGGTAACCACAAAACTACTGAAAATGAGGATATTACTTCTTGATTAACGGAAAATTGATGAATTTTGCACAAAGCTGCCTAATTTCATTGAGGTGGGATGTGTTTAAAAAAGTATGAATATTAGCAAATTGGTGAGCATTCAACAATGATTTCAGTTTTGCCTCCTGCTGCTGAGATGGGGAGGCGAAAGAGCTTTTTCCCCCCCAATTGCTAAGCTGTTGTGCTGGTTGCATTGTTCAACAGCTTTGGCACTCTCTTCACAACAATGCCACCAAACCTCTGGAATGACAACTTGGAGAAAAATTTGCAACTCACACAAGATGTATGTACACACAAGAACTATGTATGACATTCCTTCCCTCTTATATGCACTTAAGCTCTTTGTCACAATGCCAGATTTATGAAGTTCAGTCAGAAGTTGCCCACTTTTGGTCCCCATAACATAGAAAATCCAAGGACAATGTGGCTGATACACCACCATGAGCAAGAGATGCTTGGCAAAATTTTATTCTTAAATTATGTCTTCAGAAAATGGCAGACTGCCTCAACTCAAGCTTCAAGCAATGGCAGTACCAAGTTCCAAAGCCATTTAAAAAGAAATACAAATGAGAAAATAAATGAATGCACAAAATTAATTCAGTACCAACAAACAGATTCTTGAATACCTGGAATTAATTCATATCAATCTGTTCATGGAAGTGAAAGATTGAAAGGACAAAATGTTATCACAGACACCGAAGGAACAAGGAATGGAGAGCTACTTCTTCCCACCCCCTCCACGACCCCTCCTTGGGTCAGAATGCCCCCCCCGACCACCTCTTACACGCCCACTTGAACTGCTGGCACTGTGGCTGTTTCCAGAACTCCCTCCAGAATTCCCTGCTTGACCTGAGTCTCCTTCCTTCTCCTTCCTTTTGTCATTGACCTGATTGGGAAGTTCAGGATTTGGCTCGCTCATGTTGGGAGTCTCTGAGAAGAGCATGCAGAATTCTCCAACCTTATGAATCTCTCCACCCTTTCCTATATTCACGGTGATGGCAAGGCACTGCTTGAAGGCAACCAGATAGGCATTGTTGAGTTCCAGGATGTCTCCAGACTTGATGATGTGCCCAAGCTCATCCCAGACAGACATGTTCACGCAACCTGTCTTGTCAGCCACCTTGCATGTCCGCACTTCTCGGCCATCTTTAGTGAAGTTTGGTCGTCCAACTTCCAGAACAATCACGGTTAGGTTGAGGTTTTTCATTGGATACTTCAGGTCACGGATGAGCATGAACTCATGACCATTTCCATTGGTCATTTTGGGTCGAGACACGACCTTATCCTGATACATTTAACCTCCTGAAAAGTAAAGCCTCAGAGCCAATGGCTGGCAATCAGGCCATTTCCCTAAACTAACTCTTCCTAAGTGAAAAATATGAGATGATTCTAGGGAAGCCAGCTTGTAAAATTTTTTGAGAAAGTAAAAGTTTGAGTGAAAAATTGCTAATATATTACCAGAAATGACAAGGGGAAAAAATAATATAGAAGACATGGTCTAATTTTTAAAATGAAAAGTGACTTATGATAAGACAAACTAAATATAGTATTTCAATTACTTGGGTGCATGCAGTCAGCAAATGTTCACCAGAATTGACAGTATAAAAAAAAGTTAGTCACTGTAAATTACAAATACAGTAGATGCTACCTGTTGAGATCACTGGTTATAGTTATCAGCTGGATGTGATCAAACCTTGAAAACCAAAACCAAATTCAATACTTCACATTTTTCTTCAGTTTATGTTACCTGTTGCCGAATGTTACCAAGCCATATGCCAACCACTGTTCTATCACTGTCAGTCACCAAATTGCACGGTATTCAGGGAAGGAAAAAGGGTGAGGTATCCTTCCCCAGGGCTGCAAGGGACTTTTAGTCCTGGCTGTTTAGAGATAGCTGCTAACTGCTTCAAACATTTCCACTTGCTTAACATGTGAACACAGCTAATTTATTTAAGCCAGACAATTCACAATGCTGATTTTGAGCCTCCAGCATATGTCATGGCTCAAAGTGAATTGGCTTCATGAGAAAATTAATCCTTTGAAATGTTACGAGCTGCCAAAGTTTGATCAAAGAGAAGCTGTTGCTAAACTTGCCATCTCTTGGCCATTCTCCTTGGTAAACTTTTGAAGCAAAGACAATCTATGAAAGAATTTTAAGTTGCTAACAGAAATGTGAATCGCAAAAGGAAAAGAGATGTTAAGGACAGCAATGTTGAAGTGATTTGGTTAAGTTAAAACTGAATTTTTGAGTGGTCATTGACTAAAACCACCTAATTGTTATCAAATTTCCTTACATCAATGTGATCACAATAAGCAGTGTCTACCACATATGAGGCTAAAAATTCCTGAGAACATATCGCCATATAATGACAAATGACCAAAACCAGCTCATTTTAGTGCCACAGATCCCATAATACCAACAATTTGGCAACAAATATACAAGAGCAAAGAATAGAAACATAACTGCATACATATGACCCTACTGATTTACCAATTAAGAATCATAAACAAGCTTGCAGTTTAGGACTACAGCATGTAATATAATATAGGAAAACAAAATCATAACCAGGAAATTGAAAAAATTTGCAGCTAGATATGACCAAGCATGATTTGGAATAAACTCCTTTCAAATATAGTAGTTTAATGGAAATTAAATGGTATTGATTTTTTTGTAATCTTATATTCAGTTTTTACAAGTGGTAACAGTACGAAATGGGGGGGGTGTAAAAAAGATGCACTTTTAAAATATCATTTTCTCATGAAAAATAGGACTCAGATAGTGAAAATGTATAAACTTGATAAATAATTTTTATACGAGGGGAGGTGCAAAAGTCTGATCATACTCTCGGAAGCTCTTGCACAAGTCGGTTGTACTGTTTCCTATTGATTCACTGATTATTTGCTAACTAATTCCATGTCTTTTCAACCCCCCAGGAAGTGATAGACAAGAAATAGCTGCTCATGTGAGGGTGGTTGGCCAGCACCACCCCCTTTCTCAAATGAACAGATGCGAATGATCATGATGTTCTGCTTTCGAAAATTTGAAAAAGTGTTTCCAAAAAGTGGATATACCACATGCAAAAAATATATTGAGATCAGCAGCGATTATGTTGAGAAGTGAGGAAAGAATAAAGATTCAGATGTAAATGCGAAAACCATGGTGGCATAATTTTTTAAATGAGTATGATCGAAACTTTTGCACCTCCCCTTGTACAATCATTATTACCCAATATATGCCCCATCTTTCTCCATGACCTTCAGCTGCTTGGTCATAGATGAAGCTAGCCTTTTCAAGCCAAGTAGGGTCCAAGTTCTTCCATTCTTCTTTGATCACATTTGTCATTCCCATCACAGTTTTGGGTTGGTGCTGCCTCACACCCTCTTGCATGATTGCCCAGCAGTTCTCCATAGGATTGGGAGATTCTGAGAATGGGGCAGGGTATAGCAATCTCTGAGCAATCATGCAAGAGGGTGTGAGGCAGTACCAACACAAAACAGTGATGGGAATGACAAATGTGATCAAAGAAGAATGGAAGAACTTGGACTCCGTTTTGCTGAAAAGGCTAGCTTCATCTATGACCAAGCAGCTGAAGGTCATGGAGAAAAATGGGGCATACATTGAATATTAATGATTGTATAAAAATTATTTATCAAATATGCTACATTTTCACCATCTAAGGTCCTATTTTTCATGAGAAAATGATATTTTAAAAGTGTACCTTTTCTTTTGTTACACCCCCCACCTATAGGAAAACTTACTCCTGGCAAGTTCTGGATCCTTCATTCTGCATTGCTAAAAACGTTAGTACAATATCCATTGAAAACTTTGACTCAATGCATAACTGAATAATGTAAACTTGATATATTTAAATGTGAAAATGATCAAAAGAGCTAAAGTATTGCTGCATTTTTATAGATGACACTAGATGTGAAACACTTTAAAACCGTCCTTTAGGTATCAGAGGGGTATTTGAGCAGACATGACTTTTTCCTAATGGGAAGCAAGTATTGCAATCCTACTAAAGTTGTCTATGACACAGACAATAGATTTTCAGAATGAAATGACACTATCCAGAAGGATTTGAATTGTTGTACTCACCACTGCACTATCCACACTACCACTACCAATCACATTCAGCATAATTGTACTCAACATACCTTTTTTTAAACATAGTGCACTTCATTGATGAATTGGATTATGCCAGAAAAATTATGGAAACCCAAAAAGAGGCATGAGTGCCAAGCCATGACTCTAGTAGAAATGGCCAGGGTTACCTCTCATCATATGCTTCTTCATGTCCTCATGACATGAAACTTTCAATCTAAAATTTCTCTGGCTAGCTCATGTCTTCATAAGTGCTAGCAGTTTGTGTACTGTCATCTCTTGGACACACTGAATCGATGTGTTCAAATTTACTTGAACTTCCATCAACAATTTCAAGCTAATCCTGCATCCAGTTTGATTTTAAGCTAAATACAGGGTGGGGCAAAAGTTACTATACAGTTTTTGTATACTGAAGTAGCTGTTTTGGTAATTTGGTCCTCCTTGTTTCAGAGTAATACTGCTGGATGAAGCCAATAGCTTTTGAAATTACATAGCACCATAATTTTTTGTTACTAGTGTTTTTGTTTTTTTATTCAATGGTCAATATGATGCAAGAAATTAGCCTATCTTCTGTTCAACAACTGCATAGAAACTTTTGCCCTACCCTGTACATTCATGCTGTTGCATGACATGTTAAAAGTTTGCTGACCTTGTGTGAAAAATGGAAATAAGCATCAGGAAACCTTAAGCTGCATAGCACCTAGCATCAGGTTTCAAAGCTGCTGCTAAGTGCTGTAGAGTGCAGTGCTGTACAAGGGTCAGTCATTCAATAAGTGAGATCCATTGCATACATGAGTTGCTGCAGAAAAAACTACCCATCCAACCTGCTACTGATGTGTAACCAATGACTGAAATTAACGCTCTCCCTACTCCGACATATCCCCCAAACATCCATTGAGTATATTATATTTCCAGCATGGTTACAAAGAGATTAGGAAATAGATAAGGTAATTTATGGTGAAATAAAATATTTCAACTTCAGATTGTATTTTGAATAAAATGGCAAAACTATTCTTTGGCAGACATACAGGCCTGATAAAAAAAAATAAAAAAAAGGGTCTACTTGATGAATAGAGATCACACACCATGTTTCCACACATCACCACAACCCCTAGAATAGTGGCTGTGGTGATGTGTGCAAACAGATGTTAAATAAAACTTGAATATGAGCTATTTATGGCTAGTATGTATTTTCATGAGACTTAAGTAAGCCTTTCAGATCATAGTTATTACATAGAGGTGAAGTGCAAAATTGAATGAGGAACATGTTATAACTAGAAAATGGTTTCAAGACCAAGTGATATTGCTACTAGGGGCATATGTCACATTTTAAACTCAAACATGTATTTTGCTGTCAGAATTTTTCCTGGTAATCACTTATTCTACCAGCTCTTTCAACAGACATATTGGAAATGGGGAAATATAGTTGATAAGAACATAATTGGCTTGTTACAGAGGTGGTTAAACAGCTTAAAAGTAAATTCTGCTGATTTGTACATTTTCTCTCATCAGCATTTCTTTCATCCATTTATGTTATTCCATATACGTCCATTTATTTATTTTCATCCATGTATTTAACCACTTACATATTGTCGAGGTCATATATATAATGGTGCACTTTTTTCCTGAGCACCTAGTAGGTATAAGGGAGTTGTGGTAGTATTGCTTATGTCAAGACCATTCCTTGTCCTACTCTGAATGCTTACAAATCTAAACAACTTAGAACTAACCTATTTCCAATCTTCAGTGCAGATAAGAGGAAGAACATTTTACCAATTATGCAGGGGCTGACAAACATACCAATAAACTGGGGAATTTCAACAAAGAGTGGCTTTAGCTATGGGAACAGAGTTGATTAGTTTCTGAATGAAGCTCTTCAGCCTAAATATGAATGGGACATGAAAATATAGAACTGGAACTAGATGATTAATTAGAAATAATCATTCCATTAATGATTTTATAGGGCAAGTTATAACAGTTTTCCAATGCCTATGTTCAACAAAGGAACTAAAAAAATTAAAAGTTTGAAAAATCATGGGATTCATTTTGCCATGATACCAACCAGTTTTTTATTCAGCACTAAAAATTACTCTGATTGGAAGTTGACTGTTGAAGTAAGGCAACAAACTACATACTATAGGTGAAAGAAATACTTGCAAAATATCTCAAATAAACCAGTGAAACTTGAA